CTTGGATGGGAAATCCAACGACCACAAAAGACTATGAAGCCACGAAATCAGTGCAGCCCCCGTAAACGTTTGAGATCAAGGAAATAGTTAGCATCCACGAAAGAGGGTCATACTACTGAAGAGCATGAGCCCAAGAGAGAGGGTCCATAATTCCAAGCATCATGGACCACGGGTGAGCAGGAAATCACGATGCCGGGAAGATCACATAAGATCGCAGGCCATTGAAGAACATGACTACAACCTGTAGTACGGATAACCGAAATGTACCAAATCACGATATTGTACGGGTCCACATGATACTACGGAAAGGCAAGTGGTTAAATACACGATGCCAAGATCTACGGGGTGAACCACGCTCTCAAAACACGCGACACCAAGAAGCACTTAAATTTGCGGCCACCTCATCTACAACAAACCATGCCACTCCGCCGCGTAGCGGCGGCGAACGGCTAGTCTTACCCCTCTAGTGGAGTGTGCTCTGCGTCAGTCCGTCAGTCCGTCCGAGGGTAGGGTTCTAAAATGTAACGCCAATACGCGCGTTCTACTGGCTGCCGAGCGCAGCGAAGGCGGCCTCGATTCGCTAAAATTGCAATATGTGGTGTACACACTGTATGTGGTCAACACATCGTACTTAAATGCACCGTTCAAAATTCATTTTGCCCCCATTTTCAAAACGGAAGCCGCGGAACGCCACGTTACTCAAGGTACGCTGCGTGTATGCATGTTAGTTTGCATTAGTAGCTAGCAAGACACACATACACAGATAGTCCGAGGTTCCTGGGGCTGCTTAGGGGGTAGCTTATAACTTGCGGGATTTTATCCTGCAAGTAGGTAGCCGTGCTATGGGGATTTAGTTCCAGAGCCTTCTGGGTTCTTGGGGGTGTATTAACCCCCCCGCCCCCATTCTGGGGAGAGAGACACAATTGTGGAACCTGGGTTTTAATGTTACGCCCAAACCCCAAAACCAAAACCATTTGAGCCGGTCGTTAATGGTTATTGATGGGCACGCACATTGTGTGCGTGCAGTTGGTCAGGAGGGGTACCGTAACTGGCCTCTTTTAACCGACAGATGGGATGGGGGCTGTAATAGCCTATCAATAACCAGCCTTTGCAATTAACGGCCGCCTTTTGGCAAAAGGATATCGCACCTCAAGCTACAGTACTATCCGGGGGCCCAACCCTGAAGATTCGACTGCACAATTTGCTAACTAAAACCGCTCCGGGCCTCACGGCCCGTGACTGTGGGATAAGTGATCGGAGATAACCTTGATGGGGGCAAGCAATCCCGGGTAGTACGCGTATTCCAACACACTACTCTATGAAAACCTAATGCTACGTGCGGTGTACTTAGACATTGTCTAACGCGTCACGTTTACGTGTTCGCAGAACTATGGCTCGAACTAAGCGGAAAAGGACCCGAGAGGAGCTGGAGGAGGGTCTGCGGGAGAATGAACGCATTAACGCGACGCCGATACAGGAGGAAAATGATGCACGGAAACGACGAATGAGCAAGCGCAGAAGGAAGCGCTGTGACTTGAACAAAGCGCTTCAAGCCCTCAGTGTGAACCAAGACGTTACAAAGGTTATGGAGGTGACGGAAGGTCGAGCGGTAGCTTTTGAAGAGCGGGAGGAGAAAACGGAAGAGTCCGATGCTGCGGTACATCAGCGGCGCTTTGCGGCTGAAATGGAGGCGGCGTATTAAGCTGAAACCGAGAATGTGGCTGTATTCCAGCCGCCTTTTGTATCAAAACAAACGGTTCGAGAAGAGGCCCCCGTCTCGGCTGCGCAGCGGGCCCGCGAGAAGAGAGCTAATGCGACACTATCCCAGATAGAACGACGACGTGCCGGTGATGCGGAACGGGCCCGTACGAGACGAGCCAATATGACGCTCTCTCAACGTGATCGATCGAGGAAGAAAGACGCTGAGCGTAAGCGTGCCCGAAGAGCTCGGCTACGTGGAGAAGAGCTTCAGGAACAATGGGAGCAGAATCGGCAGCAGCAAGCCTCACACAGAGCAGAACTGAATGAACATGATCGGGTAGCTGAGCGCGCCCTAGACCGACAACGGCAATCCAATCGATGAGAAGGGCAGGCAGGAGACGAGCGCCAGCAAGAACTCGAGCGGGTGCGCACTCGACGCCAATGCATCCGACATGGACACGCTCTTATATCCCTCGAAGACTTCGAGGCGTCCATGATAACGGGTGACGACGTGGTGAGCGGCCGGCACAAGATTCCAGCTACAACCGTTTGTTCGATCTGCAATGCTTGGAAGTGGCCTGGCGAGTCTGCGATATCATGCTGTCTGGCAGGCAGGGTAAAGTTACCTTCACTGCACCCCGCGCCACCAAAGCTGCTTCAGCTGTACGGAGATCCCGAGTTCCGCCGTCAAATCCGTGCCTACAACCAAGCTTTTGCTTTTACGTCGATTGGTGCTTCCTGCTCAAACCGATCGTTTCAAAACGTGCATCAA